GAATTCGCTGCTTCCAAAACATCGAAAATATACCATGGTCCTGGAATTCGCTGTTTCCAATTAACCATCGCAAATACCATGGTCCCCGAATTCGCTGGTTCCAAAACCATCGCAAATACCATGGTCCCTGAATTCGCTTACCATCACCACATGACCATCGCCCCATTACCATCGCCGCGCTACCATCCCCTCAGCTACACCGCTTCTCTACGCTGCCTGTTAATTTCATCTTCTTTGCGTTTCGCGCTCTCTCTGCCGTCGACACCGCATCTGCTTCTAGCCTACTACACCACACCACGATCACCGCACTGACAACACAACCAGCTATACGTGTCAGTTGATATCTCCGCACTGATTGCTTTCGGGATGATCGGTGTCTAGCTTTTTTGGAAAGCTGGAAGCTGGATGTCCTCGATGCAAATTGGTCTCTTAGAAAGTTGGATAGCCTCGATGCAAATTAGTCAATTTAAACGTCAAGTCCAGAAGAAACACCAAACCCCGACGCCTGAACCCTAACCAAACGAATATAAAAGCTCACAACCCACACCTTAAGAACAAAACAGCCTAGCCAAATAGGGTCTTACTTAGGGTTTCGGGTGGAAGTATCATCCTTTAAAAGCTTTTTCCCAAGCCCCCAAAACAGGGTTAGGGTTTAGGGTTTAAAGGGTTTAGGTAGGCAGTGCTGGAGGAAGTTTCGGGCCCCAACCCAAGCCCTTCAACCGCAACCCACCTAAACCCTCAAACCCTCAATGCCCCAAGTCATAGACCCCAAAGCCGTGGTAAATCCCAAACTCCTAAAGCCACAAAAACCCTCAAACCACAGACTGCGAGACAAGCCCGAGAACCCTAAGACCCTAAAACCCTAAACCCTAAACCCCCAAACCCAACACCCATCCATGTCTGGCGGTGGACTTCATGAACGGCGGCCACTGCAGCTTTTCAGGGTTTGGGTTAAGTTTTCATGGGGACCGATGGTCCCGATGGACCCCAGGGTCAACGGGACCGATGGTCCCAGGGGGGGGAATGTTGTGTTGGTTGGGTTTGGGGGTTTGGGGTTTGGGGTTTGGGGTTTCCTGGCAAAGCCTGTTTGAGGCCCATTGATTTGTATCACACCCTACAACTAAACCCAAATTTAGCCCTAAAACCCACACCCTAAACCCTAATAAAACCTAAACCAGTTTGAAGTTATAGGGATCCTGGGGAGGCTCGCGGGCTGTCCAGACTCTGGCAGCGATTGAATCTTGCGCGTGTAAGGGGGCAGGCAGCGGCAACACTGTTGCAGTGAGAACTTGGTTTTTGAACCAGACCTCACCCGGACGTCTGGTTTTTTCGCGGTGCAAGACCCAGTTGTCTTTTCAGTTGCCTTTTTCGGGATAAAGGGGGGAAAGAAAATTGGGCGAACTCCCCTTAATTCAGTTGCCTTTCCGGGGGACAAAGGAAATTGGGCGAACTCCCCGTAATTCAGTTGCCTTTCCGGGGGGGAAAGGAAATTGGGCGAACTCCCCTTAAAGACCCTCCCCCTTGAAACGTCCTCGACGCGAACTAATATCCAGAAGAAATAAGTGAGAAAGTTGGATGTCCTCGACGCGAATTAGTCTTTGAGTTCCCGAAAGCTCCAGCGAAGGGTTCTCCGGAGAGAAAAGAAACGTTCGCCCAGCCTACCACCGCCACACTACCTTCACCACACTAATCACTACGCTACCACCACCACACTACCACCACCACACTTCCATCACTACACTAAGGCCGCCACACTACCATCACCACAGTACCATCTCAGCTGCATCGCTTCTGTACGGTGTCTATTGAATGCTCTCTTGTTTCTTAAGCTGGGGTGGGTTTCGCTGCGGCTAGCGCGATGCACCCATCTGCGGGGATCGCGCGTGTCGGCGGGCTCCCGCTGTGCGTTTTTGCGTATTCTTGAGTTTGCTTATTCTTGAGTGGTCTGTTGAACCCTCTACGGGGATCGCGCGTGTCGGAGCGCTCCCGCTGTGCGTTTTCGCGCATTTTGGATCTTACACGCGCACCCTCTGCGGGGATCGTGCGTGTCGGAGCGCTCCCGCTGCGCGTTTTTGCGTTGTCTTGAGTGGCCTGTCGCACCCTCTGCGGGGATCGGGCGTGTCGAAGCGCTCCCGCTGTGCGTTTTCGCGCATTTTCCAGGACGGGCTATTATACCTTATAACCCCTAAAAAAGGCCCTTTATAGGGTTGATTATGGTGATCATAGGGCCTAATAGCCCATCCTGGTTGGAACTGAACCGTGCGCCCCCGCAGAGCGTGCCTGTCGGAGCGCTCCCGCTGTGCGTTTTCGCAAATTTTGGAACTGAACCGCGCACCCTCTGCGGGGATCGTGCATATCGGAGCCTGGAAAGTCGACTTTTGTAGTACAGACGTAGTACGCCGGGGACGCCCGGAGCTGCCGTGGCTGGTCGACTTTTGTAGTACAAATGTAGCACGCCGCGGACGCCCGGAGCTTCCGTGGCTGGAAAGTCGACCTTTGTAGTACAAATGTAGTACGCCGCGGACGCCCGGAGCGTCTGTGGCTGGAAAGTCGGCTTTTGTAGCACAGGCGTAGTACGCTGGGGACGCCCGGAGCTTCCATGGCTGGAAAGCTTCCGTGGCTGAAAAGTCGACTTTTGCAGCACAATGTAGCGCGCCGGGGACGCCCGGAGCTTCCGTGGCTGGAAAGTCGACTTTTGTAGTACAAACGTAGTTACGCTGCGGACGCCCGGAGTTTCAGTGGCTGGAAAGAATTCGCTGCTTCCAAAACATCGAAAATATACCATGGTCCTGGAATTCGCTGTTTCCAATTAACCATCGCAAATACCATGGTCCCCGAATTCGCTGGTTCCAAAACCATCGCAAATACCATGGTCCCTGAATTCGCTTACCATCACCACATGACCATCGCCCCATTACCATCGCCGCGCTACCATCCCCTCAGCTACACCGCTTCTCTACGCTGCCTGTTAATTTCATCTTCTTTGCGTTTCGCGCTCTCTCTGCCGTCGACACCGCATCTGCTTCTAGCCTACTACACCACACCACGATCACCGCACTGACAACACAACCAGCTATACGTGTCAGTTGATATCTCCGCACTGATTGCTTTCGGGATGATCGGTGTCTAGCTTTTTTGGAAAGCTGGAAGCTGGATGTCCTCGATGCAAATTGGTCTCTTAGAAAGTTGGATAGCCTCGATGCAAATTAGTCAATTTAAACGTCAAGTCCAGAAGAAACACATGAGAAATTTGGATGGGAAAATCAAAAAAATTATTTCAATTATCCTTAACGGCCGACCAGACACACAACACACACCACGCACCACACACCACCCACCACGCAACACGCAACGCACAACACACAACACACAACACACAACGCGCAACACACAACACACACAACACACAACACACACAACACACACAACACGCAACACGCAACACGCAACACACGCAACACGCAACACACGCAACACGCAACACGGAATACGAACGGGGTGCTCCGTGTGCTAGCGGTGGGACTGCGTGAGGGTGAGGGGCAGGCGGGGTGAGAAGGAGTGCGCTTTCTGGCAACACAGATCACACAACACGCAACACACAACACACGACGCGCGTCACACAACACACAACACACAACACACAACACGCAACACGCAACACACACCGCGCAACGCTCAACATACAACACACAGCACACAACACACGCAACACGCAACACGCAGCACGCAACACGCAACACGCAACACGCAACGCGCAACGCGCAACACGCAACACGCAGCACGCGTTATGCAGCAAATGACAGACAGCCCACAACTCACGACACACACCGCGCAGACAACACGCAGCCCGCAACACACAACACACAACACACAACACGCAACACGCAACACGCAACACGCAACACGCAGCACGCAACGCGCAGCACGCAACGCACAACATACATGCGCATCACTCATTGTCAGTGATGCCCTTAACGTCTCACAAGGAGGCTTCCCCCGCGCCCAGAAGCGACTGCGATGGAGGCGCTTTTGCCAGCGCTGTGTTTCCAGGTTACTGTACGGAGCAGAGGTCAGGATGTGAGTAGTGGTGCTTATTGGCCTCCTCATAAAACCATCAGCGCGAAGCGGTTAGGTCTCTCCGTGGTTCGTTGTCATCGGGGGCCCAGCCCAAACTTCCCCTCCTGAGGACGGGCCGTCTTTCGCCAGGATGTAGCCGGGACGGGCGTTGTGAGCATGCTGAAGCGTACAGAGCTGTTTAGGGGTTGGGACTAAGCCTCGCGTCGTGCCAGGTGCAGCACCATTGTCGTCGCTCGGCGCGGTTTGCCCGCTTCCTGACAGCAGCTGGCAGGTCGCACGCACGCACACACACACACACACACAGAGAAGGAGTGCACTTTCTGGCAGGCGCAGCTCAGCCAACATTCGTTAGTTCGAGTGCAGAGGCACGCGTTGGGGGTGAGACCTGGAACACCCCCACCTCCTTCCTCTCCTTTGGATCGATTTCTGCAGACAACCGCGATACACTGCGGCAGACGCCGCAGCACGGTGCAGCGCATGTCGGTCTGCCGCTTCTGGACTGAAGTGTCTCTGAGCTGTTGCGTGCGAGGCTTCCTTGGCTTGTCGTGCCGATGACACAAGCATCTGCAGGGAATCATACTTGCTCTCCCAACTTGCCAAATGGCTGTAGCTGTTCATATTACCGTAGCCTTACGTCTCGTGGATATGCCCCGGCGAACACTTCTCTCTCGAACTACGCTAGGCACTTTCACAGAAAAGGAGAGAGTTGAAGGCTTTCACGGTTCAGGTGCACGGTTGCTTGGTTTGCGGTGGCAGACTTAGAACAAGACAAGCTGCGTAGTGGAAGTTTGGATGGCGTGGACAAGCGCAGACTGCCTACTAACTGTCACTGACCGTTGCAACCGTCATATTGGGGAATCGTGTGCTCTATGCTCAAAGGATCTCAAAGGTGGTTGCCAGTGTGCCGTCAGAAATAGGCAAACATGCACACCCACCGCGCCAGTTCCTGTGAGGAGAAGCGCACCGCGCTGCACTGCGCGGCCGCTTCCGGCTCTGAGGGCCCCTGCCAGGCCTTGCTGCGTGCAGGCCGGGGTCAGTTGGCTGAGGGTCGAGGCTGTCGTCAGAAACTAGACGAATCTCGATCCGAGAGGTGCAGACGTTGAGGAACGGCTTGAAGAGGAGCAGCCACACTACGTGTCATGCACTGGACTAGGGGCGCAGAGTCTTTGCATGCACGGTGTGAGGGTTTAGGGTCTAGGGTGCAGGGTTTAGGATCGAGGATTCTTTTCTAATTCCGGTTCACGTTCACATGTGCGATGCATGGTTAACACGCAAACCTGTAACCCAGACCCAACGGGACCGGAACAATAGCCGCACATAGTTGTAACGTCACCGCCAGAAGCCCTAGCAGCTCTGATGTGACCGACCGGATATTGAAACAGACGTACCGATAAACCCAGACCTCGTCTTAAATGATGCGGCTAGGAATAAACGGACGTGAGTTGAGGCTTTTGGCAGCGGCAAAAGAAACTATGATCGAAGTAGCTATAACAACCCAATGAGACCTAGAGCTTACCCACACACCCACACGCCCACACACCCGCACACCCACACACCCACATACCCACGCACCAAGCTCTGTGTTCTGGACTAGGGGCGCAGACGGGGTTTCTGAAAATTTTGGTACATCATTGAGGGTTTTTGCATCAGCATCCTGATAGTTGGGACTTGGGACCCGTATCTGCAAGCCTTGTGCTTGTGACTTGGGATGCGCGGGAGCCCTTTAAAAGGCCCGATTATGTCCTCGACTATGTACTATAGAGGGGCATGCACCTTTAGGGTTCTCAAGACAGGAGGATGCGAAGGAAGAGGCTGCAGACGAGAAGAAGGAGGCCCCTGGCCCGTTTCAATCTGGATGCACTGTAGTCACGTCAGAATTTGCAGTACAGGAGCTTATGAGTACGTATCAATACTATCCTCCACAACTCTATTTACTTATACACTACATAAATAAATAAATAAATATATATATATATATATATCAATGAACATGTATATGCATTTATATATATATATACGCAAACATACATACATGTAAAAACATGTTTTTTCTTGATGAAACTGGCTTATATACGTAGACACTATCCACACCTCTTCTAACACCTCGGGCCCAGGTATTTAAGCAAAACCTTGTGAGCCCTAAACCCTTAACCCTAAACCCTAAACCCTTGCTGGGTCGTTTTGGAGAGAGAACTGCTGGAAGGCTGAGGTCACCCCAAGGGAAGACAAGAAGGAGGAGAAGATGGAAGAAGAGGAGGAGGGACTGGGAATCATGAGGATTCGCAGGGTCATCAGGGGCTCAGCCTTGTGCGCGCTGGCAACGCTGGCACGCAGGCTAGTCTGGCGTTAGCTTTCTGACAAATGATTCTGCAGCTTCTTGAGAAATCCAGTTGGAGCCGCTGGTTCTGACCGTCGTTTCGGACCTTGCACTTCCTGCACATGTTGCATATCATGCCCCGTCTGCTGGCAGATGAAGCTATGGGCAGCTGTGATGATAGCACGTGCTGACAAGGCCAAGCTGCATTTGTAAAGAGGAGTGAACTGCACCAGTACGGGCATCATCTTTGGACTGGGATGCTCTCTTGCACAGCTTAGGAAACTACTCACTCTGTGTACCTCCGGGTTTTAGGCCTTGATTGAAGTAGGATAAAGGGCTTCATGGGAAGCTTGATGAGTTTATGCGTTCATGAGTTTCTTGAGAACTGTTAATCTTTGGGTTGAGAGTTCAGGGTTTAGGGTTGGGATGTAGATGGGCCTACGATAGTGCCGGGGCGGTATTTGACCTGATGCCATGCAGATGCTTCTTGTAGAGTTCTAGCATTTAGGGCTTTAGGAGTTTTAGGGTTTGGGGCTTCAGGGTTAGGAAATTTCAGGGTCACAGGTGTGGTGCGGCCCCGAACATGAGACCTCGAAACCCCCCCAAACCCAAAAACTCAGCAACCGTGCAAGACCCAACAATGTAAGAACCCCATGCCTTCAAGCTCAAACGCGAGGCCCTGAGCCCTGAACCCCGAGACTCTGCTTGCTGTGAGGCAATGCTAAGCCGTGTGTTGCGCCGCATTGCAGCCGGAGATTAGAGGTTGGTTCCGGGACTGGCAGCACAAATGCGGTTTGCTTGTACAGAGCCGGGTGGTGTTGCTGATAATCCGAGCCCAAAAGGGTCCACCATTCGGATTAGACCGCACGTAGGGTAGGGGACATGCTAGTTTTTGAGCTGTGATTGTTCTGGAACGAGCTTTGCGAGTGTTCAGTTGAACGCTTGGAAGTTTCCACCTGGGCAGGTCCGATTGCGCCTTCTCATGAGGGCACTGTGCATGCTGTTTACGTGCCTAGATCCTGTGGACCTCTCGCCGTGCCAGCTGGCTGGAAAAGTTACTGTGCAAGCAACCTTCAGCAGAGCCGTGCTTGAACACGTGCCACTGTGCACGGCTGAGTTTATGACTTCTGATTCTTCGAGGATCTTGGCCAAGTGATGCTCGGCTGTGGACAGTTAGCGTTGGAATGCTGCAACTTATCGAATAGCCTAGCCGGGCCCCTGCGGTGCGTCTCGCAAGAGGTCTAGTCATCTAGCAGCATGCCTTGCTGAGGCGTCAGCCGAGTCTTGTCCTCTTAACTTGTTGCCAAACTTGGTCCGAGCATCTTGGGCCATTAAGGGGGTTGATCTCAGTCACTGGCCCCTCCGTACCCGAAACCCTAAACCCTAAACCCTAAACCCGAAACCCTAAACCCTAATAAACCATAAAAGGAACTCGGTAGGCCCTTGGGATGTTTCACATTTTCCCTTATTGGGATTTGTGAGAGGATGATCTTGAGGAGTATTTTTCAGAGGGTTTTAAGGACCATCGTAGGAAGGAGGATGCTGCAGCATACTGCAACATGCTAAAGATATACATAGATATACAAAATCAGCAGGAAGGGGCACTATTATATGACCAGAAGTAGAGAACCCCAACTACGGGCCCCTCATTGAGATCAGCCCCCGTTGTGCAGACGAATGGCTTGTGGCTCTGCGAGTAGGGAGTGGAGGGGCCAGGCGCCCTCCACCTTAAACCCGCCCCCAACTCCAACCAGGATATCTCTAGCGCAGGGAAAGATGCCTGTTGGATCAAAGCCCCCAAACCCCTGCCAAAGAAGCAGAGCTGCTGGATTAGAAGGTTTGTTTGAAGTACTTACATTCCGCGCCTGTTTAAGTGCAGATGCCTGAAACCAATGAGTCTCGGGCTCGCCTGTTTCGATTTGGGTTAGCGCGCCGAAAGGTCTAGCCATACCGCCCTCCCAGCCAGGTAGGCGAAATTGATTGATCTTAATTGGGCACATTCTACACCGCCTGGTTGAGTTGGAATATCAATCCATCTTCCCCCAAGCCCATGCATATCGACGAACATTTGATGCTAATCGCCCAGGCCGCCCTGGAAACATTCGGCTGAGCCACACTCACCGTAGCGAATCTCGCAGCAAGTGCCAACACACTGTAAGCTACACCAGTTCGCGCTGTGTCCCACGAATATATTGCAACAACAGCATCACAACGACCCTGGCTGCAACTGCTATTTCAATCGCTCTGCAATGTTCTACTTGAGCAAGGCGCCGCTCACTCGAGATTTGAGTGTTGAGAGCGTTGTGGGTTTCATGGGTATGTTCGTTTTGAGGAGTGCTTCTCAATGCGTTGGCTTGTCACAAACGCGAGCAGAGTTCGTTTAAACATGCAGCGGCAACATCTTGCAAACACCGAGTTCCTTACAGCGTTGCAGTTGTCTGCTGCCGCGTGCGCTCATTTTTGCCACGAGTGTGTCATGGCGAGTTTTGCTTGCTCGCAGCTTGGGAATCTGCTGGACGAAATCGACGGCGGATCCGGCGACAAGGTTCAGGTCCGAGTTTACCGGGTCAGTTTCAAGGAGCTGATTCAAGGCAAGGATTTGATCGAGCATAATGTGAAGCATGTGTCGAGTTGTTCTTGTGCTCTTGTTTTGCAGCAAAAGGCGAAGCCCAAATGCTTTTTAAATCCTTCCGACTGTTCCCCGCCAGCTTCAACTACAGTTTGTCAGCGGTAGTTCTCCGAGGCTGAGGGTTTACTGCAGTACTATCCTCGAAGGGTAACAGGAGTGAGAAAAGGAGATCCAAATGTAGTCGTCAGTGCCTGAATGAAAGCTCGGGCTTAGACGTCCAGATCGATTTCCAGAGATTTGCAACGGCCCAAACTGCATTCTGCGCTGTCAGGAAGGCGAGGCTACCGAGCCAACAACCGAGGCGTCTGAGTTTAAAGTTCGCTTTCGCATCGAAACGCCTAGATTAACCACGAGTGCAAGACAAAGTGCAAGTCTTGCGGTGCAAGTGCCGACGTGCAGGGATCTCTGGCCAACTCCCTCGGTGGACTGCTCACTTCCGCGTCCCAGGCCGCAGGCGCACTGCTTTCCTATATTGTTTGCATCATCTTTCCCATGACATTACGTAAAAAGCGGAAACCAAGCACCGGATCGCTTTTCAGTCGCATCCCTGGCCTGGCTCTCTGCGCGCTTGCCAGGTTCCGTGGCATCGAGCTCGACAAATGCCGCCAAGGCTCCTGGCCGTTTTGCCCGGCTTCGCAAACCGTGTGGACATTACGTGTAGCCGCCCTCAAAGCTGTTCACAGCATCGCTCTGAGCCAACGTGAGTCAAGCCATTTCATGCCTTTCTGGCTAGCTAGAGTACACATAGTACACGTTAAATTTGCCAAACCTTGTTCTTGGCCTGTTTGCTTTAATGCGCTCGTTGTGGTTTCGGTTTCATTGAATTGACAGTGTCTAAAAACGATCCTTGCAATTTCGAATCCATCACTTGAAATGCGCAGACCACACCTTGCAGGCACAGTTTGATGCCATCACGTCCTTGCTTGGTGAGGACCCAGTCGAACGTATGCCTCATATGTCCATGGGATTCATGGAGATACGCGTTTACGGCTGATGCTCACAGCTGTCACAGCTGCTACAGCTGCGTTACAGGACGAAGAGGAAGCTGAGGAGGTGCCTGGGGAGGCTCAAGGCAGCCGAAGCAACGGAGTGCCAGAGCCGGCCCCATCGCCCTCAGTCCCCTCAACCCGTGCTGGGGTTGCCAGAGTCTCGGGACCACCTGTACTCACATGAGTGTCACATGTGTGTCACATGCGTGTCACATGTCTCTCCTGCTGAGCCCAGGTATCTGCGGAGCAGCCTCCAGACGAAGTTCCTGAGGTCGTTCCCTCGAAGTCGGCGTGAGCTTTCGCCGCTTCACCTGAGTGTAACATCTGCTTGAGTCGGCGCAGGCCTCGCCGGCGCCCTCCACCAGTGAGTTCGTGGCCCAGGGCTGGAGCTTCGAGGCCCTTTGGTGCATCTGCGGTGGTGCGCAGTGTGAAGGCTTTCTCTTGAAAGCGGGGTCGTAATTGGACAGCTTGCGTCTCAATGAGAAAGCTGCAGCGTTTTTCTGGCCATGCCTTGGATCGCGCTTGGGGCTCTCAGCTGTTGAACGAGCTCAGGTTCCCACAGTGCAACACACAGACAGCGCGTCCATAAGTCCTCATGCAGGTCGCGGCTCTAGTTCTCTCTTCTGGGCCACATCGTGGTCATGGGGGGTGCATCCCCAAAGCTTTTTTTAACCCCATCTAAACCCCAGCACTGCCACCACTTAATTCGCTTCCGACCCGATGCCATGGGCTGAAGGCCACAGCTTCGGGAATGTTAAGACTTGCAGTGGCAGTGCTGCCACTTCTTGGGTACGGCCAGGACAGATCTCAGACTTTGAGTCGTAAGGCCTGCATACCCCATTTGGAAGTCCCCAGGTCCTCAACCCCCAACAGAGGTGCCCTTGTAGGGCTTTCATGGTGTTCTGCATGACCTCTGCGGACTCGCAGGTGCGTGTGGCACCACTTTTAATAGTTCTTAGGGCAGCAGTCAACATCTTCGGAGGACCTTTACGAGAACACTGGCCTGCTTGGCGAGTACTTCGCGCCCACAGCTCCCTCGGAGCTCTGTGATTCTGCGAATGGATCCACTCAGGTGCAGAGACGAAGAGACACAGAGTCCTAAGCTTGAATCTTAGGGTTACGATTTTGCCTTGTCCTGAACTCGACCGCTTCTCACTCCACGTTGAGCTGCGTTCCCGGCATAAGCTGTTCCTGCGGTATGGCAGGTGCTGACTACCAGGCTCCCGAACATTGCGAGGAGGGTGCTGCGGACTCTTGGCCATCGAGAACTTGTGGTTCTTATTCAATAGCATTATTGTTCCTAACTCATGGCAGTTCGCATGTCTCAACAAGCGGCAACTAAGGCTGGATTTCGACAGCCGAGATCGTTTTGAGTTGGACAGATGTGCATGGGAGGAGGACAAGAGTGGACAGTTGTGCTGTGTCGCTGTGTGTGTGTGTCTCTGTGTGTAGATAAGTCAGTGTAGCAAACCTGGAAGCGACGGCCCAGTGCCCATGTCCCTGAGGAGATGGAGGAGGACCTCGTGTTCTCCTGCCGCGGTCAGGAGGAGCTCCGGAAGAACTTCGCTGCTCGCTACACGGGCTACGTGTATGTCTACCGTCGAGGCACGTCTGCGCGCGGCATCTCCAAGAGCTGTGGCGGGGTTCAACTCTCTCCCTCTCTCTCTCTCTCTCTTTTTCTCTCTCTCTCTCTCTATATATATTGTAGTATATACATATTACTTAGTTGTGAAGTTATGTATTTTGTTCAGCAGTTAATTTCGTCTTCATTTCGTTGCAATGATTCCGCCCGGAATTTCTGGCTTGCATTCCGTCTTCATTTCGTTGCAACGACCGCTCTTCCCCTGAGTTTACTCAAACAACCCTCTTTTCGTGCGAACGACCGTGTCAAAAACATCACCCCTCTTTTTGTGCGAAAGGACCGTGCCTACTCCCACGAAGGGAAAACAACTTCCTTCCCAAAAGAGGTTGGTAGTAAATTGAGGCGGGTTTTCGTCCGTGTACCCCGTTTGGCGGATTGAACAACCAACCGGGAAGAGGGGGAAGTGGCACCCGTTTGTGAAAGGAGATTTCCCTGTGACAAGATGAATTGCAATTACGCCTCGTTGCTCGTTGGCCATTGTGTGGGGGGAAAGGAACCATGCTGGTGCGGGGATGGATTGTCCCTCGTAGGGTTTGGTGAGGCCCCAAGAGGTTTGTCGGCGTGTCCCCTCCCTTCGTGCTCGTAGGGTTTCGTGAGGGCTCTGGAGGTTTGTCTGCGTGTCCCTTCCCTTCGTGCTCGTAGGGTTAGACCGACTCCGTCTCCTATTTGAGGGTGGTGGTTTAGAGAGTCTTCAACTAGCATGCATAGGGTTTTTTCGGCTTCGAACATGTTTTCTGTAAAGGCGTTTACTTGCCTCTTACCTTTGCTTCAATTTTTCGGGGCTTATATCTTTAGGGCTTTTTAGGCTGGGGGAGCCTTTGGCGATCTAAACCTGGACATTTGTCGCCATGTTTTGGCGCGAGCCATTAGGTCAGGTCAAGTTCAAAGAGCTAAACCAGGACATTTTTCGCCATGGTTTGGCGCGAGCTATTTGGTCATAGCTTGCCCAAATAGCTCGGGTGAACTTGACCAAGCAGACAGGTTTCGCTATGTTTTCGCGCGGGCTGGGCTCTCCACTGCAGAAAACCTTTTCTAAAGCTAAAAACGCCCTAAAGATGTAAATCCCAAAAATTGAAGCAAAGGTAAGAGGCAATTAAACGCCCTTACGCAAAACATGTTTGAAACCGCAAAGCCCCTATGGATGCTAGTTGAAGACGCTCTCTAAACCACCCTCTTTAGGGGAGTAGGTCAGAGCTGCCGGAGCTGCCCATATTTAAACCTGACCATACCAAAGAAACTCCCGCCAACGTTGCTGCAGCACTCGACATTTTTGACACTTTACTTAGACTGACTTAAACCACCCTCTTTTAGGGGAGTAGCTTGCTTGACCGAACTGGTGTCATGGTTTTCTCGGAAGGGCGGGAGACCACTAGCAACCGCTCCAAGACGATGAGAGAGGATTCTAAGGGCTTGCACACGGGTTCCTTTTGGGGTAATATGATCAAGGAACCGCGGTGGGGGAACAGCATAATATTACGCCAAAACGCATTCCGAGGAACCCATGTGGAAGCCCTTTGAATCCCCCCTCATCGTCTTGGGGCGTTTACGAAACTGTGGGCAGGGTGTAGGCACCCCTTTGCGCCCTTCAATCTACTTACTCGTGCCCGCAAAGTTTAAACCACTTCTTGTGCGAAAAGACCGTGTCAAAAGCGTCCATTAGACACTCTTCTTCCCACATATTCCCCCTTAAACTTTGCGGGCACGTGTAAGGAACTTGAAGGGCGCAAATCCTGAACTCCCTAACTCCGGCCTAGCAAGACTCGAAACACAGGGGCCAGGTGAGGGCCCTAGAGGTTTGTCGCATGCCACCTCCCTTCGTGCTCGTAGGGTTAAGTTCATTTCGTGTTCATTTCGCTGCAATGCCGGGAGTTTATTGCTTTCATTTCGTCTTCATTTCGTTGCCACGATTCCGATGTCTTCCGTTCATTTCGTCTTCATTTCGTTGCAATGGCTCCGCCTGTTTTTCTGTTTGTTTCGCCTTCATTTCGTTGCAATGATTCCGCCCGGAATTTCTTGCTTGCATTTCGTCTTCATTTCGTTGCAACGACCGTTCTTCCGTCGATTTTCCTTAAACCAACCTCCTTTTGTCAAAAATGTCCCCCCCCATCTTTTGGTGCGGAAAGACCGTGCCAAGAAATGTCTAGTCCCACGAAGGGGAATACATTTGCTTCGCAAAAGAGGGTGGTAGTAAATTGACATGTTGAAGATCAATGGCAATTCCGTCTCGTTGCTAGTTGGCCATTGTGTGGGGGAAAGGAAGTAAGCTGGCGCGGGAACGGATTGCCAGAAAACCCTAAACCCTAAACTGCGGCCTGGTTAATTAAACGTGAAACACAGCTTCAGGCCAGGTGAGGGGCCTAGAGGTTTGTCGCATGTCCCCTTCCCTTCGGTTTGGTGAGGGCCCTAGAGGTTGTCCCCTCCCTTCGTGCTCGTAGGGCTTGGTGAGGGGCCTAAAGGTTTGTGGTGGTTTAGAGCGTCTTCAACTAGCATCCATAGGGGTTTATCGGCTTCAAACATGTTTTCTGTCAAGGCGTTTAATTGCCCCTTGCTTTCGCTTCAATTATTTGGGGTTTATATCTTTAGGGTTTTTCAGGCTTTAAACATGATTTCTGTAGTGGAGAGCCCGAAAGGCTAGATTGAACACGCTCTAATCCCGGACATTTTCGCCATGTTTTGGCGCGAGCTGTTTGGTCAGGTTCAAGCGCTTGACCGAGTAGCTCAGGCCAAAACATGGAGAAAACTGTCCGGGTTTACAAGTAAATTGAGCTCTTTGAACTGTCACACAAAAAGAGGGCGGTTCCTCGGAAGCAGCGGTGGGGGAGTAGTATAATTATACTTCCAAGGAATGCATGTGGAAGCCCTTTGAATCCAATCTCATCGCCTTGGGGCGGTTACTTCCTGCCCTTCGTAGACAGACCTGAAACTGTGGGCAGGTTATGGAGCCACGATTACGTTACCAGCACAGGTTTTCGTTTTATATCTAGGGTTATGCACCCCCTCTCGGCCCTTCAGTTTTACTCGTGCCGCAAAGTTTAAACCACCCTCTTCTTGTGCGAAAAGACCGCGTCAAAGCGTCTATAAGACTCTCTTCCCACAAAGGACTATGGTTGTAGTCCCACGAAGGGATAAACACCCCTTAAACTTTGCGGGCACGAGTAAGGAACTTGAAGGGCGCAAATCCTGAACTCCCTAAACTCCGGCCCAGCAAGACTTGAAACACAGATTTGGGCCAGGTGAGGGCCCTGGAGGTTTGTCGCAGGTCCCTCCCTTCCTGCTCGTAGGTGCTCGAAGGGTTTGGTGAGGGCCCTAGAGGTTTGTCGCATGTCCCCTCCCTTCGTGCTCGTAGGGTTAAGTTCATTTCGTGTTCATGCCGCTGCAATGCCGGGAGTTTATTGCTTTCATTTCGTCTTCATTTCGTTGCCACGATTCCGATGTCTTCCGTTCATTTCGTCTTCATTTCGTTGCAATGGCTCCGCCTGTTTTTCTGTTTGTTTCGCCTTCATTTCGTTGCAATGATTCCGCCCGGAATTTCTTGCTTGCATTTCGTCTTCATTTCGTTGCAACGACCGTTCTTCCGTCGATTTTCCTTAAACCAACCTCCTTTTGTCAAAAATGTTCCCCCCCCCTCTTTTGGTGCGGAAAGACCGTGCCAAGAAATGTCTAGTCCCACGAAGGGCAATACAGTTGCTTCGCAAAAGAGGGTGGTAGTAAATTGACATGTTGAAGATCAATGGCAATTCCGTCTCGTTGCTAGTTGGCCATTGTGTGGGGGAAAGGAAGTAAGCTGGCGCGGGAACGGATTGCCAGAAAACCCTAAACCCTAAACTGCGGCCTGGTTAATTAAACGTGAAACACAGATTCAGGCCAGGTGAGGGGCCTAGAGGTTTGTCGCATGTCCCCTTCCCTTCGGTTTGGTGAGGGCCCTAGAGGTTGTCCCCTCCCTTCGTGCTCGTAGGGCTTGGTGAGGGCCCTAAAGGTTTGTGGTGGTTTAGAGCGTCTTCAACTAGCATCCAGAGGGTTTTTTCGGCTTCAAACATGTTTTCTGTCAAGGCGTTTAATTGCCCCTTGCTTTCGCTTCAATTATTTGGGGTTTATATCTTTAGGTTTTTTTTTTTTTTTATCTTTAGGGTTTTTTAGGCTTTAAACATGATTTCTGTAGTGGAGAGCCCGAAAGGCTGATTGAACACGCTCTAATCCCGGACATTTTCGCCATGTTTTGGCGCGAGCTGTTTGGTCAGGTTCAAGCGCTTGACCGAGTAGCTCAGGCCAAAACATGGAGAAAACTGTCCGGGTTTACAAGTAAATTGAGCTCTTTGAACTGTCACACAAAAAGAGGGCGGTTCCTCGGAAGCAGCGGTGGGGGAGTAGTATAATTATACTTCCAAGGAATGCATGTGGAAGCCCTTTGAATCCAATCTCATCGCCTTGGGGCGGTTACTTCCTGCCCTTCGTAGACAGACCTGAAACTGTGGGCAGGTTATGGAGCCACGATTACGTTGCCAGCACAGGTTTTCGTTTTATATCTAGGGTTATGCACCCCCTATCGGCCCTTCAGTTTTACTCGTGCCGCAAAGTTTAAACCACCCTCTTCTTGTGCGAAAAGACCGCGTCAAAGCGTCTATAAGACTCTCTTCCCACAAAGGACTATGGTTGTAGTCCCACGAAGGGATAAACACCCCCTTAAACTTTGCGGGCACGAGTAAGGAACATGAAGGGCGCAAATCCTGAACTCCCTAAACTCCGGCCCAGCAAGACTTGAAACACAGATTTGGGCCAGGTGAGGGCCCTGGAGGTTTGTCGCAGGTCCCTCCCTTCCTGCTCGTAGGTGCTCGTAGGGTTTGGTGAGGGCCCTAGAGGTTTGTCGCATGTCCCCTCCCTTCGTGCTCGTAGGGTTAAGTTCATTTCGTGTTCATGCCGCTGCAATGCCGGGAGTTTATTGCTTTCATTTCGTCTTCTTTTCGAAGCCACGATTCCGATGTCTTCCGTTCATTTCGTCTTCATTTCGTTGCAATGGCTCCGCCGTTGTTTTTCTGTTTGTTTCGCCTTCATTTCGTTGCAATGATTTCGCGCGGCGTTTCTTGCTTGCATTTCGTCTTCATTTCGTTGCAACGACCGTTCTTCCGCCGAATTTGCTTAAACCAACCTCCTTTCGTCAAAAATGTCCCCCATCTTTTTGTGCGAAAAGGCCGTGCCAAGAAATGTCTAGTCCCCTTCGTGAGTACATTTGCTTCCCAAAAGAGGGTGGTAGTAAATTGAGATGTTTCTCCCATATGGTAGCCGGGCTTACGGCCCTGTACCCCGTTTGGCGGATTTTTTTCATCACCAACCGGGAAGAGGGGTAAGTAGAGAGCGGCGCCAAATCCAGGCCTCTGGCATTGTATGGGGCACCCGTTTGTCAAAGGAAATTAGCCTGTGACAAGATCAGAATAAATGGCAATTACGCCTCGTTGGTATGGGGGGAAAGGAACCATGCTGGCGCGGGGATGGATTGCAAGGAAACCCTAAACCCTGAATTCCGGCCTAGTTACACTTGAAACACGAGTTGGGCCCAGGTGGCATGTCCCCTCCCTTCGTGCTCGTAGGGTTTGGCGAGGGCCCTAGAGGTTTGTCGCATGTCCCCTCCCTTCGTGCTCGTAGGGTTAGGTTTCAGAGCTTAGCCTTTTACAGCTTGAGGTTTAAAGTTTAGTTTTAAAGTATTCGGGTTTAGGCTGGTCATGATCTTTTTGCTCCCTCCCCCTCCCCCCCCCCCCACTCCCCCTGTGGTGTGGCTGTGGGGTGGTGTTAGGGGAGGGTTTCAGTCAGGGCTTGGGGCTTTAGGGCTTGAGGGTTTTGCGCAGGGTTTCGGGTTTGAGGGCTTTGGGTCCCTAATATATATATCTATATATATATATATATATATAGGCATATGTATATATATATATATATATATATATATATATATATGGGCATATATATATATATGTATATATATATATATATGTATGTATGTATGATGCTGCTTGCAGGCTACTACACCTTCGAGATCGAGGCTGATGATGGCTTCCGGATGATTCTGGGCCACGATGCCTGTCCTGGGCAAGGTTGTGCCACAAGGCTCGTGAAAGTGTGTGTGTGTGTGTGTTTTGGTGCCAGGGGTTTAGGGTTTAGGGTTTCGGGTTTAGGGTTTAGAAGAGGAGAGGGCCATTGTTGACGTAGAGATGCAGAAAGGATGCCCCTGCACAGGTACGATGTTCAAAACTGGGCCATGCAGCAGATGAGAAAGAACCGGGTCGATGATGGCTCGTATGGCAACCAATGTTCAGAGTGCTCCCAAGGAATATACTTGAACTGCTTTGTCACTGACTGGGGCTGCGAGCCCTTTAGCTTGTGGCAGTTGGAGGGCGATGGTGGCCTATCAGGCACCTGCAACACTGGGACCGTGACCCGAAGCAGCAAGCGATGGCTAGAAGCTGGCCTGCACCCACTGCGTATCGAGTACTTTCAACGCGGAGGAGATGCCAAGCTGTTTTTCAGATATTCGGGACCAGACACGAACGACAACATGATCATCGTGCCCAGGGAGAAGCTGGGCTTCCCAAGATACATTGGATTCATGAAGGAGGTGTTCGATGTCACCGAGGACGACCCAATCGTACTGCCACCTGCAGCCAACATGGGTGCGGGCTACCCAAACGGAAGACTACTCTACCGCACGGATGATCAGTTCCAGAGGACTGGCCCTGGAGAAGGGGACTTCAGTGACGAGATTGAGCTGCTGAACCGACCGATCTACGTGCGCTGGCAGGGCTACTTTCTCATCGTCAACGGTGGGGAATACATCTTTCGACTCCGTTCGGACGACAGCGGCCGCCTGAGCATGGGTGGCCGGGGCCTTGGTGGAGAGTCCGTGGTGGTGGTGAACGACGGCCTGCAGGAAGGGGCCTCTGCGAGGGACACCCGGCTCTTCATGCGGCCCGGCCTGCACCCGGTTCGGGTCGAGTTCTTCTGGAAGCCGGATGCAAACCCCGTGGTCTCCGTGCCGCGGCCTCCAGGGATCCAGGCAGGAGAGGAACAAGAAAAAGGAGTCCCAACACAAAACCTTCGCCCTCACCTCAAGGGTTTTGATTTGTAAAGTTGTAAATTCTGAGACTGTGATGTAAAGTCTCGAGGTTCTGAAGTCCCTTAACTTCGAAAAGAATTTCCTGAGGTGTTGTACTCCGGCTTTGATACCGGGGGCTACTACTTCTCGATGTCGCGGGACAATGGCGGCCGCCTCACGCAGAACGAGTTCGACTGTGAGCTGAGGTCGCGTCGGACTTGGGTCTTAGGTCCAGGGAACCTGCAAGATGGCTCAGAAGGAAGCGGGTTTAGGGTTTAGGGTTTAGGGTTTAGGCTCAGGGAAGTTTCGGGGAAGCTTCAGGGGTTCAGGGAAGTTCGGTGTGCAGGGCATGGCAAATGGGCATGTTCAGAAGTGTATGGGGGCCCAATCCCAACCAGGCGCTTCAGCTGGGGCAATGGAATGTCCGTGTCCCGTGACTGCCAGGCCGGAAATGTCATGGAAGCCCCTGGCTCCGAAGCCCCCAAACACCGCAAAGTCTCAGGCCCTACAGACCCCTAGAAGCCCGACAGCATCCCACAACCTTCCAACGAGCATTGTTCAAACCCCACATGAACTCCCGAAGACTTCCATGAGAACGACTATCAAGACTCTCAGATTTCCTGTCCAGAAGCCGCGATAAGCTCTGCCCCCTCGCCCCCTTCGGAGCGCATGTGATCCCCTAAACCCTAAACCCTAAACCCTAAACCCTAAACCCTAAACCCTAAACCCTAAACCCTAAATCCTAAACCCTAAACCCTAAACCCTAGATCCTAGACCCTAAACCCGAAACCCTATTTTTACAGGGCCGGTGCTTCGCTGGCTCTGAGAACGTGGTCGGGGACCGCGTGTGCGACAACGGCGAGGCAGGGTCCTACAACCTGGCCTGTGGGGGCCTCGGCGGCCCTCGGAAGAGACGTGGTTTAGGGTTTAGGGTTTAGGGTTTAGGGTTTAGGGTTTAGGGGGATTCGGATGCCTTGGGTGGGGATTTAGATCCGATGAGCGCTCAGGTGAGAACTTCAAGTTCGACAACTACGATTGTTCTCCAACCTACCCAGTTAAGTTGCAGACCACGCCGCGGCCCAGCATCACCTGCCTGCAATCGTGCCAAGCGGGGAACTTCATGCGGAAGGACTGCTCTGGCTGCACTTCTACCCATTCGGGTAGTGGAGACTCGGAGGCTTTTGGTCTGTGTTTTCTGACTTTGATGCGTCCTTGGCATGGCCTTTGTACTCTCCTTATCCCAGGAGATGAGATCTGTGTGGAGAGCTACGATGACTATTGCCCATCTGGCGTCCAAGAGGATTGCACCTTCATCACGTGCTGTGTTGCCGAGGCCTGGCACATTCCGAAACCATGTGGAAGACATGGCAGCTTTTGATTCGCGCGGGCAGCCTACCAGCGTAAGGTCAATGGCTTGAACTATTGGGGCAAGGACTGCCTAGCCTTCGGCACATCCACAAATTGCTCCGGTCTCCTGCCCAGTTTGTCAGCTAGGCTTGAACTGACGTCCAGCAGTTCGCTGCAAGCGAGTGTTCGAGAGAAGGAAGCAAAGGCGAGAGAGAGACTCACAGACGGCTCTCGGGAGGGAAATGCACTTCGGGGCGGCCCCTTCGGGGGCTACACTTGCAGACAGAGAGATAGACAGAAACGCGCGTGCAGATTGTGCGAGGGAATGAAAGAAAGAAATAACTAATGACGAAGAAGAAAAACGAAATGTAGAGAGAGAGAGAGAGGGAAAGAGTGAGAGAGAGAGCATCCCTGGGGGGAATTTCGTTTGCCAAGCATTGCCATGGTTGCAATTCGGGGCGGTTTCACACACATGTTTCGGTAGACCTGGCGCCCAGGGATGCATGTTTCTGACCTGGCACTTCTAGGGAGCAAGGTGGGAGTCCTGGGTTCTGAACGTTTAAGCCTGGTATAGCCTGGTTGTTTCCGCACTACCGCCTCTTTTCGCACAAACTGACTCGGCAAGAGCATGCCCCTCGGGGCGGTCTCCGAAGAAGAGGAAAGGTTTTTGGGGCGTTGTGTTCGGGGGTGAGTGCTTGTGCTGTCTAATGTCCAGTTACAAAGAGGTAACTGACTCAGTGTCACTCGCAAGGAGAGTCGGGAAGCAAGGGGGGTAGGGGTCAAAAAAAGTATGACATCTCCCACCCTCCTTGCAACCGCGCCGCGGACTGCGCGGGTTCCCTGTGCCCTCACGCCGCACCCGAGGCAAGCTACCCGGCGCACAGCAACTGGAACCAGCGCAACAGCACGGCCACGGCCACCACCACTTGGACCATATAAACAAACTCATCCACTACCATCTCCTTTCGAAGTGGACCTGGTCGAGACAGCATACCCACACCTTCGACCTGGGACAAGCTTACGAGTCAACATACAGCCAGCTGCCCCATCTTGGTAGCCACCTACTCAGAAAGAGCAGATCCCCCGCCGCCAGCTAGCCAATCCACCCAGGCCACCAAAGACACGCACACTCCAAGCACCTCGTCGAGAGCAAGTCGACCAACATCCACGACGACCACGATGGCGTCTGGATACCCGCACCACATCAAGCGCCACAACCGCGACCAACACGACACCTACACGAACCCCCGACCAACAAATACCAAGAAGATGGGGTTACCCATCGGGAGCACACCCGCAACATCATCAACCCAGCAATGGGGACATCTCCACACCAACGCCCGGCCTGAATGGCCCCACAACACATATCCAGAGGAATGAACCCAGCTGAGCACCAAGCATGGGCCCAGAATGGAGTGATATCGATCAGGTAGCTACCAGTCATTGCAGCAGAGGCACAACGCGCAATCACTGGCAATTGGAAGTTTAGCTGGCCCTTTGGCTCTCGCCGCCTGGTTAGAAGTTTTTCGTCACAAAGGGGTGCTCCATATTGTGGATAACGCCTCTACGGCCGCTTGCTTACTCAAAGTCCGCAAGTCGTTTCATCGCCTGTTGTTGGCGACTACTGGCTGCGAGCTGCGGCAGTGTTGGCGGACATTTATGTGGGCCGCGTAAAATCGAAGTGCAACCTAGCCGACGGTCCGAGTAGAGGCCATTTCGCTCCGCTTGGGCTCAGTTCACAGAGCCGCCGTCCAATTTTTCACCATCTCTTCTTCATTCGGATTTCAGTGGTTCTCGGCAGGCTAGTGCTGGCTACCGGGCAGTCAGTCCCCAAACTCTGCGAAAGAGGGGGGCCCAACTTATCCTTCTTTGGGAAGGAGCCCCCAACCTGCTTTGAGTGAGAAATGTCATGAGAAGCTCCTGGTCAGCAGTCGCCGAAGAGGATCCACGTGTGACAGTCAAAGAATATCCAGTGCGCGTTTCTGGAATTGACGCCCTCGTGGCAGTACCACATGTCGCGGACCCTCGCCAAACACTCTCGCGATCGCGTGCTCCTGCCCTCCGCGTCCGCTGCCCAGACGCTCCAGCTCCGCATGGGGGCGCCGCCCCACGCGACGGTCCCCTAATGCTGATATGCCCGCTGCTGGTGCCAGTCGGTCCCAGTCTGCTCGGATCCAGCAGCTTTGGCTGGGGCTGAGGCGTGGAGGCTTTTTTGGGACGACGAGTTTGCCGGAACACCAGCGGCGGGGGGACGCAGCAAGAGCAGTTTAGGGTTGATGCTTCCACGACACAATGCAGCTCTCGTGTTTCCTTCGGAGAATCAGATTAGGGTTTCCTGTTTCTGATTGCAGAGTAAGAAATCTGCTCATCGTCGAAATACAAGCGTGTGCGTGAACATCATTCAGCGTCACAAGCACGATGTATACCTTTGGGACCATCGACCGCGGCAACACCAGCAGAATCAACGACGACCACGACCGCGACCACCTCCACCGCGCCAGCGCCGCCGTCACCGCCGCCGCCGCAACAACAACAACGATGAACCTGGATTCCTAATTGCTCGACAGGCAACCTTTTCTGTGGCACTTGGCCTAAGCTTGTTGGTTGCTATTTCCGTAAGCCGCTCCCGCGAGGACATCACAGTGTAGAAGTATCAAGAAGTATCAGGGGGGGGGTGGGCAGGCCAGAAGCGGTGAACATGCCGGCGCTGTTCCGCCAGGCCTTTGTGGCAGAACTCAAGTCTCACATGTTCAGCTTCTGATTGATGTTTGGGGGTGCCGGGGCACCAAAGTTTCATGTGGATTCCTTTGGATGTGTGGTGCTGCTGCAGACCCCAGGACCACCGCCGTGCCAACCAGCCCATGACGAAGCCCTCCGCCAACACAAGCACTCATCGACAACCTTCCAAACACCCAAGACACAGCCCTCGTGCAACAATGGGAAATCGTCCGAGCATTGATCGTGCTAGGCTTGGATCGCATGGATGGGGCCCCAAAACACCATGGTATGTCCGACCTCCACAACGCGCCGAGGGGATAGGGATCAAAAAACTACAAAGGGTCAAAAACAAAGTAAAAAAGGATCAACAAAAATGAGCCTTAAACCCTTAGCCCTAACCCTAAGCCCTAAATTCCCACCCAGGCCTGCTTAGGCCGTACCCACCCCTTTCTAGGGTGCCTGGACCCAGAACTACACCCGACAGCCACTAACACCATCGCTTAGACTTACTGTGCAAGCATAAAGAGTTGTTGAGCGTGAGCGGTTCAAACCCGGCCTGGGCACCCCCCTCCCTTGTCTGATTCTGAAGTGTTGGACCTCGCGTGGCTTTTCACAGCTTTGGCTTCCTCCCCCAACCGGCCCCTGATCCTGGCCCCCTATCCTCTCTAGCCTGGCCCCCTCCCTTCTTGGGCCCCCCTCACACCCCCTAACCTGCCCCTCTGGCCTCTGCTGGCGTCCGGCCTTTGTGCTGGGCCTCTGTGCTGTACGAAGGACGTGCCTTGGCTTTGCAACAGCTTTGCATGGAGTCCTTGAGACAACTCACCATGTTCCTTTTTTGTTTGTTTATATATATCTATCTCTCTCTCTCTCTCTCTCTCTCTCTCTCTCTCTCTCTCTCTCTCTCTCTCTCTCTCTCTCTCTCTCTCTCTCTCTCTCTCTCTCTCTCTCTCTCTCTCTCGCTCTGTGTCTCATGCTGTGTCTTCATTCTTGTGCTCGTCAAGGTGTCAAGTACTACGCGGCATGCGGCTGCCAGTCGCAGATGTCGCAAGTCTCGTCGCCTCGTGCTTTGGCCTGACGACTTGCGGGATGACGACTTGCGGGGTTCGAGCCAAGCCCTAAAACATGTTCCCCCAAACCTCCAATTTACCAAATTGATTTTTTTAGCCTTTTAAGACGTGATGGATCGGCCACGTCTGCAGCGGTGCGCCTGTTCATTGGTGTGCATGGCTTGTGTACGGACGCCAGAATCCAGCTGATGCAAGCATTCGACTGCCGAATGCGCATTGAGGAAACAGAGCTGCGACGCGAACTACAGATGGTGCAGGCTTCGTCGCCCCCTCAGCAGTTGCGCAGACACTACATCTTTCACGTGTTATTGGTTCTCATGCAGAGTCTTGACTGCCAAGGCTTCAGGCAGAAATTCGTGCGCTCACTCACATGGTGGCAGTGGGTGTCTATAGGCATATAACCTCTCGCCGCATTGACAAGCGTCTTTCGAGGGCAATGCAGGATCTGTTCTTTTTGCAGCATGGGCTTTGCAAGAACGCCGCTCAACTCGGCCGGGACTAGCTGTTTGGAGGGTTGGGGCAGGGTAGCCGCAGGCGTGGGAGATAGATGGAAAGGTACAGTGATAAGGAGGTTCGGGGGTTTGGGAGATGGGGGAGGGGGGAAGACGATGGCCAGCCCCTGGCCCGTACCCATGCAGAAGACTGCCAAAAAGGAGGCGATTAGGTGTAGCTCGATTGAGCACGACTGCATAGCAGGTGGAGGCGGAGCGCCGCAAGAATGAGGCAGGAATTTTTGCGAGCCTGCGAGATTGCGTAACCTTACGATGCTTCAGGCTTGCGCGTCCCAGTGTGTGTAGTTGGTAGGGGTCGAGAGCTGGATCTATCCGATCAAATGCACATCGCCCAAGCCAATGCACTGAGCAAGGCCCTCAGTTGAGGTGCTCCATGCCGGCGCGGGACATGCGGTCGTTGGTCACTCACAAAACCACTTTCGCAAATGATTCGCAGCGTTCTGCCAGACCTCTGGACGCAGCATAGGCAGTTTCAGGAGGGGGCTCGGCTGGGTTATGGGGATCAACAAAGAGCGATCAGAGCAAGCATCACGCTGTCATGTTAATGCTCCGTCATGCTCAATATCAACCCACGCCCGCTGGATCTTTTCAGTGTTTTCAGTTTGCGCTAAGACCATAGAGATGATTCGAGTTCTGAAGGTCTGGTGGATGCAGAGGCGATGGGCTGCTGGCATCTCCGTGATCTGGCTTGAATCTGCCAGCAAGGGTCCTGTGATCCAAGGCTGCCCGATGAGTCCCACGTGGACATGTCGAGGCTCTGAAGCATACACTCCTCCTCGCCGCCGCGCTCGCTCTTCATTTGTTGACCCCTCACCCCTTCCCTCTCGCGGACAGCCGGTAAGCGAGGGCAATTGAGACGACGAATTCCGCGAATTGCCAGAATTACAAAAATCATAACCAAATCTGATGCCTGGCGGGTGTCTTTCAAATGCCCTGACCAAAAGGTTGGGATGTAGGCATTGCATGCCGTCGCTTGCTCAAAAACCCCTGCCAAAGCCTCCGACCAAGAGACGTCGCATCTCCTACCAAAGTCACCAAACCCCCTATTTGAAGGACGAGGGTGGGAAGTGGGAATTTAGGGCGTTTAGCCCGAAACCCTAAAAGGAACAAATTTGGGTGGATACCTGCGTAAGCAGGGGGTGGGAAAAACAGAACAGCCCAACCTTGCTAGTTGTGATGGGTTCAAATTAAATACACGCCGCCGCGACATATGCCGCCCCCTCACACGCCCTGGGTCCCTAAACCCTAAACCCTAAACCCTAAACCCTAAACCCTAAACCCTAAACCCTAAACCCTAAACCCTAAACCCTAAACCCTAAACCCTAAACCCTAAACCCTAAACCCTAAACCCTAAACCCCCTAAACCCTAAACCCTAAACCCTAAACCCTAAACCCTAAACCCTAAACCCTAAACCCTAAACCCTAAACCGTAAACCGTAAACCCTAAACCCTGAACCCTGAATCCTGAGCCCTAAACCCTAAACCCTAAACCCTAAGCCCTAAACCCTAAACCCTCAGCCCTAAGCCCTAAACCCTAAACGCACACGCTACACCCTAAACCCTACACCCTAAACCCTAAACCGTAAACCCTAGACCCTAAAACCCAAAACCCTAAACCCTAAACCTTAAACCCTACTCTAAACCCTAAACCCTCGGCTGTTAATGTTTTTTGACCCGTTTCATTTTTTGATTCGGCAGCCCAAATTCACACCGACTGACTCGATAGAGCGTGCCCCTTGGGGCGACCTCCTTAGGGAGGTCATGCGCGCTGGAAAAACAGAGAGAGAGAGACAGAAAGAGAGAGAGAGAGAGAGAGAGAGAGAGAGAGAGAGAGAGCGAGAGAGAGAGAGAGAGACAGAGAGAAAGTGAGAGCGAGAGCGAGAGCGAGAGTGAAAGCGAGCAACGACTTAATGCAAGAATGTCATCTTGCAGCTGGGAACACTGAGGGAAGCTGCGGACCATCTTGGACCGAATCCATCAGACGCCTTTGCTGCTGGATGCGAGTTCCGTTTACGATCCGTTGATACCTAGGCCTGCGGGGGCCTGAATGTTTAGGGGCAATGTGCTGTAGAGGAGCCCAGCTACCATGTCCCAGTGACAGGCCTCCACCCACTGGGCGTTTAACGTCAGAGTGCTACCAGAGCAACTGCAACCAGATCACGGAGGAGGGGTTCGTCAGCACAACCATGTAAGATTTGACGCGTGGCAATTGTGAGTCCTCGTACAATGTGGAGATTTCATGCTGGTCCTGAGGCGTACATCATCAACCAGTTCACTGGCTTTCAGACCGACCAGCGCGTTTGCCCTGTTGAAGAGTCTCCAGATCGTGGGTTCGAGTGCTTCATTGGCCCGTTTGCAGCAGATGGTGTCACAGATGTGCTGTCGCAATGTCAGAGTGGGCGATTCCAGTGGAACTTCTGTTTGGACCGGAAGACGTTCGACGGCCGCCCGCACACGGTGGGAAGGGTGGGTCACGGTGAGTTGTGGGGGTCGGTTAGCAGAGGGTGCCCCCAACATGACGATGCCTTGGCATTTGCAGTGCAAAACAGTCACCCTGCAAGGCTTGTTGCAGCTTCCTGTACATGAACGCTCGCGGAGGAATTGAGTGTCGCATGATGGGCGTTGCCCAAGGGACATGCAGCTCACTGTTGGAGGAGAGGCTTTCTTGCTGTCGACTCTGCATCGCTTGCAACAAACGACGTGTGGAGCGATGTCCGCTTTCAGTCAGGAGCTGACACGGAGTTTGGGCACCAGCACCTACACGATGATCACCAACGGTCAGGTTATGAAGTCGTGTACCACCGACAACTGCAATAATCCAGACGATGAAATTGCAGGTGGGATGTTGGTGCCCAGCTAGAGATTGCACAACTTGAGGGAAATCGTGTAAGTGCATGTTGGGATCGCATGCCGCAGGCTGTCCGTCCATCATCGACAGGGAGCCAGCCATCACGGAGGGGCTTAGGCCGGGTTTGTTCTACTTGGGATTTGAGAAGACCCTAAACCCTAAACCCTAAGCCCTAAACCCAAAACCCTAAACCCCAAATCCTAAACCCTAAGCCCTAAACCCTAAACCCTAAACCTGGGCCGCCGATTCCCCAAGGGTCTCAAAGCCATCGAGGCCAACCCGGGAGCCGACGAGGGAAGAGATTGCCGAGGGCGCGGTGGATCGGCCCCCCGAGCCACCTCCTTGGGGCCTCATCGGAGCGAGGGGGGTTTAGGGTTTAGGGTATATAGGGTATATAGGGTATATAGGGTTTAGGGTTTAGGGTTTAGGGTTTAGGGTTTAGGGTTTAGGGAGCATGGAAAGAGGATGAAAAGAGGGGGGAGAAGAGGGGACGGGTTGGCAAAGACAGGCCTTTTTTTTTTTTTTTTTTTTTTTTTTTTTTTTTTTTTTTTTTTTTTTTTTTTTTTTTGTATAAGACGAGTTCTCTTTTGCCAGGAGGCTTGTCTTCCATCCCCTTCGCTTTGGTCTGCATCGCCATGGCACTGAACAAGGCCGGTGTCTTCAAGGAGGCGATCGAGCCACTCTTCCACACCACCAAGGCCACGGTCGTGGCGGAAGACACCTTCATCGCCCCTCTCCTTCCCCGCACTTTTGCAATTGCGGCTAAGGTAGAGAGGGGAGCTCTACACCGTGTGTAGTAGTGCGACTCCTTCCACTCATATCCATTCGGAAGCTGTTTACTCTTGACAGTTCCTTGACCTAAGGAGCCGCAGAAGGATCTCATGACGAGCGGAACCAAGGGTGTGGACCAGAACCTGACCTACGGTCGGGTCGAGCCTCGTGGCTGGGCCGGATCGTGGAACGGAAGGTCGTGCTTCTGGCTATGCTTCTAGTGATTCTAGTGCTGCTGCTGTGCAGCTGTTGCTTTGCAGTTCGGTGCCGAGGCCCTCTGGGGCTGAGGAACATGCTGGACAACCACAAGGCCCGAAGCATGCCGAAGCGAGCGAATGAGTGAACGAAGGAGTGAGTTTCAATTCAGTTTTGAGCGCATTTTAGAGTGCATGTGTGGCCTGATGGTGCTCAGGTACTGCCTCTGGCGCTGAAGCAGAAGGCTGAGACGGCTGTGCCGGAGGCAGCAAACGCTGCATGGGTGGACGCCATCGTAGCGGAGGCGGGGCTGCGGGAGCCAGTTTTGCCATTGGCGGATTGGTTGCTTGTACCATATGGCATTTTCCTGCAAGGCTCAGATCCAACAAGTGACCCCGGACGAGATCCATCCGCTCCCTGATGTACTGGAGGGCACCACCTACACCGGCGAAGGTGTCATCTGTTTGCCCGAGGACCGTCGGGGCTTCAGCGCAGCTCCCTCTTTCAACATATTTCGACCTCCTCCTCGTACACGGGTGCATGCAGTAGTCAAAAGCATTTGCCGAAGGATCAGCAGGGGATCCTTGAATCAAATGACGCGCATGGGGAGAGGGGGGGGGGGTCGTTGTGCGCCGGGGGGGGGGGGGGGGGGTTGTTGCGCCTGCGTTGAAGGAGCTGGACATGCCCTTCACGGAGAAGAGGGCCCTGGCCTTGCAGCCGGAGGATGACTTCCCGCGCCGCCTTGCCATGCCTTGCTTAGCAGAGTTGGGCCTGACAAGTTTCATTTTGGGGTAGGCCTTCTCGTCATAGTTCCCATGCTAGTTGCTGGTAGGTGTTCGGGGTCTCGATTGCGTTCTATGATTCTTGCCTTACCCTTTGCCCGAATGCCCGAACATGGCAGATCCGAGCAAGAGCCAGAGCCAAGACGACATGAGCAGCGGGAACCATCACCAGGCGAGCAAGCTTGTGTGCCTGCACTGTCCAAGCACGCCTTCTCCACTGCACCACGAGTATCCTGGTCTTTTCAGGCCGTGAGCATCGGGGGCTCCAGTCGCCTGCAGCACGGCCAAAGATGCAGAGTTGATCGAGTAACACTCTCATGTACTTGAGTGCAATATCCAAGGAACACGTCGCGAACTGGCGCGGGCAGCAGCTATGCTGTCAGCCGAACCCATAGCAAAGGTAGGACGGGGTCGTCACCTGGCGGCATGGCTGTCCCGTCGAGTGTGCAGATGCTACCAGAAGCATATTAGTTGAATGAGCCAGGCACGTGCAAGTCCCTGCGCCCAGGAAGCTCACGACGGCTCGGACCGTGACATCGGGCTTCAACAGTAGCCACACTGACCTGGTGCACGTCACAGAGAGACCCCTCTCCGAAGGTGCTGCGATGCATGTTGCATCCCGCGGTAGGAACTCACTTGTCATGGAGCTGACGTCTCATGGTCTAAATGATGCCGATACTATGCTTTGCTCTGGTCGGGGGTATGGGACCAGCTGCCTAGACAGGAGGCTCTGCTGACGACTCGGTGCTGCAGCAGGACAGCTCGCGGAACGGCTCGAAACTGAATGAACCCATCTTGGCCCAGTTCACCCAAGCTTACAGCTGTTCGAGTTGATTGAAGCTCATGATCGCCTCTAGAGTTTTCCAAGCTCCGTTGCTCCGTGTTGTGCTCCGTGCTGTTTGGGCCAAGTCGGTTTTGCGAGGATCAGCTGCCCGCGCCGCCCACCTTGGCGCCAGCAACGGAGATCGGTGCCTCGGACGTGCCTGAAACCCCGAACACCCAAATAAGGGAGTGGGAGACCATGTCTCCCAGGTTCTTGTCCACCTTAGCTAGGCAAAGACTGCTTCTTATCTGGTGCTTCGTGAGCGCCTTCGCCTGTTAAACGGGAGTTGGCAGCAGTTTGTTGCTAGTACTCCCTTGTTTCATGTCTTATGCCGGTCCTCAGCACCATGTTCCAAGCATCGCTAGCTGCCTGGGTGTTTTTTTACGACAGTGTTCGGACAAAGAGGGGTATTTTCCCTTCGGATGCAATTGATGAACTTTCATTTCAAGCCGACAGATCTGTTTTTTACAGTTGTTGAACAAGAGAATGTCGAGCGCGGGTAGTGAAGCGCTGGTAGTGAGGCGTCTACCAGTTGCTGCCTCAATCTCGTGTGTGCATGCATGGCCTACAGATACATGTGTGACCTTCCCCTGTAGCCGCCAAGGGCACGTGGAGGGCAGCGTGTCCGGACTTGTTCTGAGCCCCGTGTCTGTTGGGACGCTCGGAGGCATTAAGCCTTTCTGTCCCAGAAAGAGAGAGCGAGAGAGAGAGAGAGAGAGTCGGGCGGCCCTCCCCAATGCCCTCCTCAATTGGGAAGGGTTAGGTGCGCAGAAAGAAAGAAAGAGAGAGAGAGAGAGAGACGTGCGTCGCTATTGCTTGCCACAAAAAGAGCAAATCATCTCTCAAAGCACGGCAATTCCATGCAATAACCATCTTTGTCAGGAACTTGCACCGCCCGGCAGCCGCGGCACGAATGTTGCGGAACCAGTCTACGGGTGTGCCCCGCGTGGCCACCTGAGCCTTGGCCACCTGTGCCTGTAGGGATAATGTAGCTCGAGCCCCTTGCGTGGGCGCTGGTGAAACACGGTGCATCCTTGTAGTGTTCATGGTCGAGTTGTGCTTCTACAATCGTTCAGTGAGATTCCTGTACAACTTCAGCAAAACAGGGATTCCGCAGCCTACGTAGGGACGGCCCTGCAAAGCAGCGCCTCATTTCAACATTCTGGCTGCCAAGCAGCTCATGTTCTTTCGGCCGTCTCACGCCATCAGGTGGTGTCCGCATCAGGACAGGAACAGTTGCAGGAGTCGACAGCCGCATGAGCAAGACCTAAGCAAAGACGGACCCCCACCTCGGCACTCCAAAGGGGAGGCCTTCCCTCATCCGCCAAGCTTTTCAGATCCCGATTGCTCTCGATGGCTTCCCGCGTCGAACGTTTCATTACGTTTCAATGCACCCTGGGACAGTTGGCAGGTGGCCATTGAGAAGTTTTTCCCTGCAGGTAGCCTCCTAGGAACATGCACGCTCCTGCAAGGCTCCGGCTGGGGGGTTGAGACTTCTGTCCAATATTGAGTGCACCTTTTTAGCGCAACGGTATGCAACGATGTATGCCAGTGGTAGAGTCGAAAGGCCGGTGGCCCGTGGGAGGCCGTGGCAATTCACGAATCCACAGCTCGTTCGGAGTCTATGCATGAAAATGGCACTCCGTCGCTAAAGTCGAATGGTCTGTTATCTTGCAAGGTCCTCTTGTGCGTGGCCAGTTGTCCGCATGTCAGAAACCTGAATCTCCTTTGCCAGGACACGGCGGACATGGCAGAGGTGCCGAGGCGTTGGAAGACAATCATATATTATTAATAATAATAGCAATGATAATAATCGTAATAGTAATAGTAATAGTAATAGTAATAGTAATAGTAATAGTAATAGTAATAGTAATAGTAATAGTAATAGTAATAGTAATAGTAATAGTAATAGTAATAGTAATAGTAATAGTAATAGTAATAGTAATAGTAATAGTATAATCGTAATAGTATAATAGTAATAGTATAATAGTAATAGTAATAGTAATAGTAATAGTAATAGTAATAGTAATAGTAATAGTAATAGTAATAGAAATTGTAGTAGTAATAGTAATAGTGAGAGTGATAGTGATAGTAATAGGAATAGGAATAGGAATAGTAATAGTAATAGTAATAGTAAGATTAATGAGATGCTTTTGGCAGTTGCTTGGTGCTCTGGTATGCTTATCGGTACCTCTCGCGTTGAGGAGTGCAAGTCCCGATGGCGATGAAAGGCATTCAGCAGCCTTGCGTTCCACGCTGCATTCAGCTTTCATAGCTTCCATAGCCCAGATCTTCCAAAACACCTTAATTAAGGAAATCCCCTAACTCATAATAATGATCCGTAGTATAAATTTGGGTATATACCTTAATTACGGGTTTTGGAAGATTTGGGAGTGTCCAGAGGAATCTTTCCATCAACACCATCGGTGCATGGCTCAAGTTAGGAGTGTTCGAAGCATGTAGCTGACAACAGACGGGTCGAGGGCATCAGCTCAAAATTGGGTGGATGGACAAAAAGTTGTTTTGATGCAAAGAGAGTGCCACAACAACTGAGGTCTGAGGCTGTCGTGCTGTCGTAAGGGCAATGCTACTTCCTGAAAAGTGTTGTCCAGGGACTGTAAGTCCATAGCCACCGCAACCTTAGATCGTACAAATCAGACTAGCCTCAACAGCTGCAGAAGGAGCCATTGCAGCCGCAGGCAAGCAAGAGATCAAACAGCCTTGGCTCGCTTTAACGAGCTTTAGCCTGCTAAAGAGCGGCGTCCGTGTCCTTGCTGTCGGGTGCGCTGTTGTGGGTCCCTCAGCGTCTGAGGCAACTTTAGGTATCTCCATCCTTCCTCCAGCCTCGACTCCCATGAGTAAGCGCTTTAGCTGTGAGGTGGAGATGCTGTAGAAAGAAGCAAGCTTACGTCGTGCTGAGGTCGCCATGAGCAAGGCAAGCTGGGCTTTCCCAACGTTTCCCGACGCCATCTGTTCTGCCGCAAGGCTGCGAATACTCCGCAAGCCCTGCGCTTGCTGGCCTACAGCCTTACAGCGGGAGCCTCTGGATCAATGACTACAGCTTGCCCTAGTTTGCTCCCCCAACATCGCGACACGCCTCAATAACATCTAATCAGTCCCAAACACGTGGTCTTTAAATTCTTCGCGCTCGCAGTTCTTCCCATCTTTCTGGACATGGCTTAACACGTGCGTGGTTGCAGGGCATCGGCGCTTTCTTTATCGTTTTGCACCTGCTGCTGACCTATGCCTCGGCCCAAAAGCCAAGCTTCTCTTGCACGCCAGTTGGAATGAGTGACGATTCCGAGGTCCTGGGCAGTCCAGGTGCGGAGACTTTTCTTGTGCCCTTTGTTGGGGCTTTGGGGCCATCTTGATGTCTGCCAGGCATGGTGACCGTCGTGCTGGTTGTGGTGGGGGGGCTTAGAGTTCCCCGTGTCGCCAGTCACCTCCATCCGACTCCACCCGCTCCAATTCCGATGTAAGTCCAGGTGATGTGCGCCATCTGGTTCGTGCAGAGGCAGCGGCACGGTCGTGTTGATGTGCGACTCAACCCGTACATATGCTTAATGCTTGAATCATTCAGCATCGCCAGAGGTCCCAGCAGTTCAGGGCAAGGAATGAGCAAGAGGCTGGCAAACGGGGAGCGAGCAATAGCCGCTAGCGCATCATGGTGCGTCGACGTGCGCGCACAAAATCTTAATTACAGCAGACGCGCAATCCCAATCAAGTGCTGGTCACTGGTCAGGCGCTCCTGATGCAGCATCGGGCCTTTGCAGCCGAGGCAGCTGGGCAGCTTGAAAGCTGACTACACTGCCGAATCACGTCTCTGCTGTTCTTGTAGAGGGAGCAAAGCAGCTGGAGAGTGAGAGTAAAGCACAGCTCAGCCTTCCAGCTCTTGCACTTTTGCACATGACAAGATTGGTTTAGCCTGTGTGTAACCGCTTTCTGTGACTGGGATCCACTCCTAGACTCCTAGACCTTTGAGGAGCCGGACGCAGGACCCATAGGACCTGCAGGTCAGTAGGTTTGCTTGTTGGGGCTTTAGTATTTCCCGTGCCAGGTGGAAAGGGCGTGGGAGCGGCGACGGCCCCAGTGAAGTGATGTCTCAGCTTTGCACCCTGCCATGTCTAGTTCTCTACGTGAGCCGTCAGATGTCAGGTCTCACGCTCATGAGGCTGAGCGCCGGAAGGGCCCTGTGACTGGGCTGAGTTCAGTAAAGGAAGAGAAGGGGCTTCGCACGGGCTTTTTGTTACCTCTGAGCCTTGCCAGGCACCCTCCCATGCGCCGTCGGCGCAGCCTGCCGCGGCGCGGCTTTGCGCGTGCTTTGCGATATCTTCCTGAGTTTTCAGAGCATGACCAGAGTGTGGCCATGTTTGACAGCTTGACATCAGACTTGGCTTCTTGTGGGAAAGGCAGAGAGCACTGCGGCGAAGAAGCGGAGGAAGAAGAAGGCACGGGAAGACGGCGAGGTCGGGCCATGGGCTTCTAAGAACACGTTGTAACACATGGAGTCGCGCGCGCGATGAGATCATCGGAGATCATGGGAGACTCAGCGGTCCTGACCCCCCCCCCCCCCCCCCCCCCAAACCCCGCTACACCTGTCGAATCTTGTGCATTCAGGAGACCTTCATCGTCGATGACGAGCTGGAGGCAGAGGCTTGGCGTCCCCCCCCCAAACCGGTTTGGGTGGGCATTCGGCGCGGCCCAAGAGAAGTTGACAGGTGGTCGAAGACCTGGAGGACTTTCTGCAGCACAGCCGCCTGTCTCGTGCTCAGGGCATCTGCTCAGACAACATCTTCACTTGTATGGTTTTGCAGTTGAGTGAACTTGTTTCGTTTGCACTTGTGGCCAATAGGCTGTGAGTATGGCTTCCACTGGCAAACTGCAGCCTCTGTCGGTCTTAGAGTTCTCATGTTTCAGGAAGGCTTCCACTTTACATCGCGCACAGGCTGCTTGCAAGTTTCGGGGCTTTGAGACCGGCTTTGAGATTGGGAGAGATCTCGTTGCCTTAAGTTCTGTTATGAATGGCCCTACTTTGTGTATCTGTTCCTGGCGACGTCCTGCTGAGCACCGGAAGGATTGGAAATGACCTCGGAGCTCCGACATGTTCAGACGCTAAGGCGGCAGGCGCTGAAGAAAACGGCAGACGACCTCAGAGAGAGCCAGAAGCGAAAAGAGGAGCGCCCCTGGAACTTGAAAGGAACACCCCAACAAAATCCAGTCGATGCCCGCCAAGCTCTTTAAGTCCTTAAATCCACGGCTGTCCTGAAGTATCCGAAGCCCTACTCGGCTACACTCGCTATTCTTAGTCCGCAGGACAAGAAGGCACCACCTCCTGCGCCTGTCACGGAGGCCCGTTCTCGGCCTGTGGGCCTGGGGTAAGTTTAGGACATTTCGGGTTGGTGGGTTTTGGGTGTTCAGGGCTTGGTGCAGGAATTAGGGGTTTGAATTTGGTTTAGGGTAGCTACAGAGTGTTCTCCGAGTCCCTGGCAGGCTCCAGAACCCAAGCCGCATCCTCGGCTGGAGGTTCTGGGAGAGGGAGAAGGGCGCCTGACATGGGTACTATTGAGCAGTGTGTTGTCTGTGACGTACTGTGCGACGCTAGGAAATTCATGACGGTGGTCCTTAGGTAGAGCCCGAATTGCACGACTGAAGACATACTGGCAAATGATACCATCCAGCTTGGGAAGGACTTTGCGTTGCATTTCTTCTGAAGCATCTAGATCGGGCATATTCTGCCGGAGCAGCGGAAGTCTAACCTCATCATGCGCCGAGCTTAAGAATGCTGAGGAAGGCAGCTGCCAAAGCGCCTGCTGACCCAGGGAAGGCCCGCCAGAGAGGGAGAGGGAGAGGGAGAGGGAGAGGGAGAGGGAGAGGGAGGGGGGAGGGGGAGGGGGAGGGGGAGGGGAGGGGGAGGGGGAGGGGAGGGAGGGAGGGGGAGAGGGGGAGGGGGAGGGGGAG